TTTTTTTTTTACTGGAAAAAAAAAAGCTATATCAGATTTTTTTTTTTTTTATATATATTTGCATTGAACTAACCATAACCAGCCATTGCTAACTAAAATGTTTCATAGTTCAGTATAAGTTTGTCTTCCACTGATAAAAGCTGTGTCAGATGCAGCAGTCTGAAGATCCATAAATCATAACATCATCAGCATATAAAGTCAGTCCAAAAATCTGAGAGCAATAAATCATTGATTCTATATTGCACTCTTTTCAAATTTAAAATGTGTACTGAAAAAAAAAAAAACTTTTTTTTTTTGTTTAAATATTTCAATATCATAAATATTTGCTTTAAATTTAAAGGTTAAAAAAAATCAATTGAAAAAAACCCCATCAATTTTCAATGGTCTCAGGCTTCTGGACCCTTATATATAATAATTATAATTCATACAAACACAAAATGCAATGGCTAAAAGTCTTTATTTTGAAATGAAACACATGTTTTCATGTTCAGTAAATGTTCTGGTGTATTTCACACATGAAAGAGCATCACGGCCAGAGTCAGACAGTGAGGTCACACACACGACTAGAGGTCAGCTAGAGGTCGCTCTCGCCGTACAGCACCGTAGAGAAGGCCGTGTAGTCCAGCGCCCCCGGGACTCCATCAGGTCCTTGATACGGAGGCATCCTGGAGATGCAGTACTCGGCCTGCTCCGGAGGAAGCTCCCGACGCAGCTCATCCACCAGAATATACGGCTGCAAGCACCAGACCACAGCTAGCAATATATGTCTGCTCATAATGGTACATGGTAAAGCAATAAGCCCCGTGAAGCCGTGGTTTACAGTGAATTTATAACAGCTAAGTGGCGTTGTTAGGTACGACGTGAAGCGGAGTAAACCCCCTTAGCTATTATTAATTCACTGTAAACCACGGCTTCACGGGGGTTATTGCTTTTATAAAACGGTTATTCCATATACGTAGTACGGTTTCACAAAATAAAACAGAGTAAATAAAGTGTAATGATATTAATAAAAATAGTATTCTTCCACCAAACAATGTAGCTCCTCAGAAACAGTTGTGGTTGCTACAAAGTGGTTGCCGAGCAACAGACAAACGTAAACAAAGGTGTATGTTACTTTGTAGAGTCATTTACAACAGCTTCGAACGCGGCTCAGCCAATCAGAATCAAGCACCGGAACTATCCGCTTTATAAAAACATTTTAGTAACATGCACTCAAAAAGCGATTTAGAAGTAAAGATTGATGTATTTGATCTGCACTAAAAGGTTCCATGCATTTGGATTACACAGTTTTACCATAAACCTAATGTGAGGCATATTTAGCAGTCCTTCAGAAATGAAACGGGTCAGATTTCTGTTACAGTACTAATAAACTGATGTCTTGAATACACAATAACCTACAGAGTACTAAGATGTTCTTGGTCTGTCACTGAATTTTTTTCTCTCCCAACAACTTTTTTCTCTCTTAAAAATCATTTTTTTTCTGAAGAGAGAGAAAAAAAAATGGAAAAGTTTTTTTAAGACTTTTTTTTTAAATGAGAGAAAAAAATTGAAGAGTGGAAAAAGTTTTTGATGAGAGAAAAAATGTTTTTGAATAATTTTTTTTTTTGATGAGAAAAAAAAATTAAAAAGAAAAAAAGTGTTTGTTTTGGATAAGATAACAAAAATTGAAGAGAGAAAAAAAAATAAAGATAAAAAAGTTTATATATTTTTGAAGAGAGACTTTTTTAATACAGAAAAAAAAAATTTTGAAGAGAGAAAAATGTTTTTAAAGAAAAGTTTTTTTTGATGAGAGAAAAAAAATTAAAGAGAAAAAAAGTGTTTTTTTGGATAAGAAAAAAAATTGGAAGAGAGAAAAAAAATGAAGATAAAAAAAGTGTTTTTTTGGATAAGAAATGTTTTTGAAGAGAGAAAAAGGTTTTGGATAAGAGGAAAAAATTGAAGATAGAAAAAATTTTTTGAAGACAGAAATATCTAGAGAGAGAAGAAATCTTAGGACTTCTGGAATAACCAGGTTTATTTCTTTATCATCAAACTATCCCATTTGTTTCAATCTTATATCTTATATCTTTATCTAATTGAATATTGTTTGTCCCACAGCTAGCCATATTTTATTCATGTTCATACTTTTTGACTTAATAAATTTAGTTGTTTTCACAATGAACATATTTCTGCGAAATGCATTTAGAAAATATGATTGTTTAAATAAAATCAAATAGATGCAAACCGTTATGAATAAGCCATGCCATGCTAAAATAAAATAAAAAATGAAATAAAATTTCATTAATAATTCAATTTTAAATAAGAAAAACAATTAAACAACCAAAACCAAAGAAAAACAACCAAAAAAAAAAAATTTGCAATGCAGTTCAGAATAAGTCTTCAGTATCTCAGAGTGTGTTCAGGGCTCAGAATCTCACCTTATCCGCAGCTAGGATCCTGAAGGAGGCGATGACCTGCTCCGAAGTCTCTGTGTCTCCGGTCTCTCGCGTCATGAAGTCCACGAACGACTGGAAGGTCACCACACCGGCGCCGTCGGGATCCACCAGAGACATGATGCGAGCGAACTCAGCTTCACCCTGCAGACAGAGAGACAGATAGACAACACTCGCCATGTGCTCAAACACAGCAGAGACGCTGCTTCACTGCTGTTCTTTACCAGATCATAGCCCATGGAGATCAGACAGGCTCTGAAATCATCCGTCTCCATGCCACCCTTCTTCTTCTGCAGAAACCAACAAACACAAACTATCAGAAGAAGTGCTTACAGCCCACTTTACTTCTGTTCTGACTGGACAAACTGCAGGATTTAATGATGAACAGTAGCAAATGTTTTGATGATTCAATGGTTCACCACTAGGAGGCGATGATCTCAGTGAACCTATGAACTAGTGTCTGTTTTTACCTGATCTTAGATCAGTTTTATACATTTGTAGACATTTATATGTGTCCCTGGAGCACAAAAGCAGTGTTAAGTCGCTGGGGTATATTTGTAGCAATAGCCAACAATACATTGTATGGGTCAAAATTATCAATTTATCTTTTATGCCAAAAATCATTAGGATATTAAGTAAAGATCATGTTCCATGAAGATATTTGGTACATTTCTTACCGTAAATATATCAAAACTTAATTTTTGATTAGTAATATGCATTGCTAAGAACTTCATTTGAACAACTTTAAAGATGATTTTCTCAATATTTAGATTTTTTTGCACCCTCAGATTCCAGATTTTCAAATAGTTGTATCTCGGCCAAATATTGTCCTATCCTAACAAACCACACATCAATGGAAAGCTAATTTATTCAGCTTTCAGCTGATGCATACATCTCAATTTTGAAAAATTGACACTTAAGACTGGTTTTGTGCTCCAGGGTCACATATAATAAAAAAGGAAGAGTTGTCTTTATATTTGGCAAAGCCCTGCATAAAACAAACAAAGTAAGTAATACAAATGCATAAAACAGCCCATATTATACAGACACTTCATATTTCATAGTATTTGATGATTTGTTAATTGCATTTAATAGATTACACTTTCAATAAAATATTTGCAGTTGGTTTGTAAAAAAATGCTGAGTTTTCATTGCATTTACACAGTTTTGACCAGCAGGTGTCACCAGCGAGTCATTTCACAATATGAATCATTGTTGAATCATTTTGTGAATCAATTGATTCAAAGCTTCATAAGGTTCATTTCCCCCATCACTGATGAAAAGTGTCTCTGCATGAAGGGGAGATTAAATCTAAAGTATAATATGAAAGTAAACAGAGTTAATTCTGACTTCATGTGACTTTAACAATATAGAATGAAGCAGAGAGAGTGAATAAGCAACACTAAACTAGTTAAACAAATGTAAGTTCTGTTCTGCAGTTTAGTTAGTACCTATTTTAGTTGGTAGTGGTTTCCTGTTCGGCCAAAGTTAACCGGTCAAACCTTCAGTAAAGTTTCTTTTGGTTAATCTGCAGCAATACACACAAATATGAATTTATTATATACATTTCTATTAGTCAGGATTTGTTAGCAGTGAGTTACAGGTTAACTCTAGTCAGGGTTAATACAGTTAACTAAAACTGAAACTAAAATTCAAATGATTAAAAAACTATTTTATTACTCGAAATAAATGTTAACTGAAATAAAATAAAAACTATATATATATATATATATATATATAGAGTTACATTGCTCATTTTAATTTATTTTAACAAACTGCTAAAACAACTAAAACCTAAACTCAAATTAAAACCATTAAATAAACATTTTTGTTACTTAATAAAATATAAAATAAACTAATATAACTAAAATTAATTATTAAAATAAATGTTAACTGAAATAAAATTAAATATAAAAAACTTTTGTGTATGAATATGAAAATTAAATGAAAATTAAAATGAATTGATGTAGTAAAATAACTAAAATGGAAATAAAAATAATAAAAATCATATAGACATATTTAAAAACAACAAAAACTACAAAAAATTATTAAAACTAACTAAACTTTAAAAGAAAAATATATAAAAATAAAAACAGATTCAAAATATTAATAAAAACTATAACAGAATAACATTTCTTATTTTATTTTAATTGAGGAACTAAAATAAATGAAAACTGAAATAAAAATGAATAAACATTATATAGACCTACATATAAAAAAAATACTAAAAATGACAAAAACACACTACAAAATTACTAAAACTTTAACTAAAATTGAAATGAGAATGAAAAGTATACAAATAAAAACTATTCAAAATATTGATAAAAACTATAATAGTATATCAGTGATACAAAAATGTCACTGTTGCCAAGGTAACATTTCTTATTTTCCTTTAATTGTTGAAGTAGTAATATAACTCAAACTAAAACTGTAATAAAAATTAATAAAATCGCTCTCTCTCTCTCTCTATATATATATATATATGTATATACATATATATATGAAATGAAAATGGAAAATATTAAATTAAAAACAATTCAAAATATGAACAAAAACTATAATAATATCTCGATGACGACAGTAGAATAACAGTATCAGTGTACTGCTGTTTGCTGTGTTTCACCCGGTCGAAGTGTGTGAAGGAGGATCTGAAGTCGTTGAGCTGCTGCTGGCTGATTCCTTTAGCGTCACGCGTCAGGATCTGCGTCTCCATCTCGTTGATGGTGCGAGCGACGGTGGTGAGCAGTGACTCCCATCCCACACGCATGTGCTGCAGCACACGGGACACACGTTAGACGGAGTGTGTGTGTGAGTGTGTGTGTGTGTGTGTGTGAGAGTGTGAGAGTGTGAGAGTGTGTGTGAGTGTGAGAGTGTGAGAGTGTGTGTGTGTGTGTGTATATGTGTG